CTTGTCTGTATTTGCTTCAGGACCAGAAGGAGCCCCTAGCTTAAACTTTGCTCTAAATTCCCTAACACTGGTAACTATCAGGCATCTAACAGTTATTTCAAAATGAAAGAAATAACATTGGGGCATAAGAAAAAAAGCATTCTGGTGTTTATTATATTTTCCTTGTCCTTCTGGTATGAATTCTATTCTTTCCTGGCTTTGTCTTAATTTACAAATTCTTTTAGCTGCATACTTGTTTTAGATGCATACTTTAGCATCTGAAGTATGCATTCAGTGTATGAAATGTACATGAACAGGCACAAACAGAATTCTGGCCACTTGTGATAGCCCCGGAGGACAGTAAATAAACTTTCCCTCCAGTAGACAGAGGGATGCTCCAATTAGATAGTGCTCTTTCTTGTCTCAGAACAACATTGTCCAACAGACACACAATGTCGGCCATAAATGTCATTTTAAATGTGGTTGTTACATTAAGAATGAGATATTAATTTTAGCAATATTTAGTATACCTAAAATATTACTTGGGGGCAGAGACATAGCTCAGCAGCACAGTGCCTACCTGGCAAGTGTGAGGTCGTGAGTTTGATTCTCGGTACCAAAATAAATAAAATATTACTCTTTCAACATGTAATCAACACAAAAATATAATGAGATACTTGGTATTTGTGTCAAAGGCTACAGTAACCAGGTCCTGACTCGCTACTCTGGTGCTGTAAACAACAGAAATTTACGTTCTTGTAGACCTGGAGGGCAGAAGTTCAAGACAAAGCTACTGGCTGTGCTGGTTCCTTTGGTGCCCCATGGCTGCATGTGGCCTATGACTCAGTCCAAGACAGCACAGAATCTGTGCCCTTGTCTTTCCTGAAAGCTGGTTCTTTGGGTACCCATCTGCTCCAGGGCCCCACAAGTTTCCACTAGACATATCACCTACTTGCCATCACCTCTGAGTCACCTTGAAATATTTTCCCCCAAGGAACTGCAGTCTAGGAATGGAGCATGTTAATGTGGTCACTGCCCCCGACCACCAATATCTTGCTTCTTAATCATCAGCAGTGGCCTTAGCTATTTCTCTAATTCCACTGCTTTTCAGAGGCATTTCTCAAATTATAACATACATCCCAACCCACCAGAGACTCCCATACCTTGGCTTTATTCCCTAAATTAAAGTGATTCTAAGTCTGCTCCAAGTGTCAAATGTTGATCTTGGACAGTGTCTATGTACTATATCCCACATGCCGCTTGGTGCGATTTCAGTATCTTCATCCAATTCTCTTGGGCACTTCTGCAGTGTCCTGCCTACCAAGCCTGCTCAAATGGAAGAAAGAAACAGCTCTGAAGAGGCCAGCATCAAGGCCCAACATCAAGTTTTACAAGAATCTCATTCTCACATCTCCAATTATGTGAAGCTGCATTACTTAGGGGACTGGTGTGAACATTCTCTCTCTTAGAATATGCAAATATTTAAGTAATTTCTAGATTAACTTTTCCTTGCCAAAGACTCAAATTGTTCAGCATTTATGATGCAAGAGCATCATGCTTTCTTGCTCTAAGAAGCAAGAAATCCCATCTCAACTATCTAATGAAATGGTATAGTATACATAGATGCTGTTCACCCACCCACCCATCGTTGTGCAAACTTCCTCAATGCTTAAAGTTTAGTGTGGCCATGTGACTTGCTTCAGTGGATGACATGATGAGAAATACAAGTGTCATCTCTGGGCAAAACACTAAAAGGTCTAGCCCACTTCTAGTGTCCCTTCCTGGCTGTATCCATGTGGCAGAACCTCTGCTCACCTAGGTTCTGAAGGAGGAGGGTAGAGCTGGAGGAAGAGTGAGAAACACACGTGTTGCTTGGAGCCCTGGAGATGTGTAGGCCAATATTCCAGCATCTTCCAGCCAACTCTGTGGCATGGTAGCTATTCTTACCGCTACTTTGCCCAGACAGTTTAATATATGTTGATATACATGATGTAAAGGAACTGTACCTTGTAGGTCATCACCCACTTCTACTTTCATCTCACCAACTTCTCTCCAGTACCTATACCCTGGCTCGCTGTAGTTTTAGCTGGATCAAGGTAGTTTATGCTCTTTTCTTTTTAACGTTCCGTGGAAATATCACAAATACTCCAAAATGGCTTTTCCTGTTGTTTTATCAATACAATGTGAACCACTGCTGGGAAGACAACCTTCTCAAATCCAGGCTGCCTCAAAGTCAACCAACATGATCGCCTTTCTGTCTTCACCAAAACACCAGGACATCCGAGGACAGTCTTCCAGTCAGCTTTCCTTGCCTGCTATTCTGTCATGGATTAGGTTTTCTCAGCCTCAGCACTACTGATCTGCTGGGCTGGATCCTCTCTGTGCTGTGTGTCCTGTGTACCAAGAGGGACTTCACAACATCTCCAGCTTTAATAAGACTCCAGCGACACCTATTCCCCACTCATGACAACCATAATTTCTCTGCAAATCCTGGTTAGAAATAAATGTTCTAAAGTGAATAATTTTTTTCTTTTTACCCTTATCATCATTCTTGCGTTATTTTATTTTACAGTACTAGAAGGTTAACCTTCTGCAAACCCAGCTGTTTTAAAATGTTTTTTATTTTGAGATAGACTATTACTAAGTCACTAAGTTGACCACTGCAGGCTCTAACTTGCTTTCTTGCCTCAGCATCTTAGGACACTGGGATTACTGTTGTGTTCCACCAACCCAAGCTGATACAACTTTTTTGACGGTCTTCAATTTATTATTTAATGGAGGCCAACTGGGGCTAGAAATGCTTCTTGTCTGTCAGGAAACACTCTTAAATGCTGAATATTCATGTAGTTGTTCCAGTGAGCACTTACTATGTGCCAGGTGCTGCCAGAGCAATAGGAATGTTGGGGGGAATCATTAAAGAAACAGATGAAACGGGGTGTGGTGGCACATGCCTGTAAATCTCAGAATTCTGGGAGGCTAAGGAAGGAGGCTTGCCAAACTGAGCACACAAGTATCCACAGTACCTTAGTAATATCCTGTCTCAAAATAAACAAAGGGTTGGAGGTGTAGCTCAGTATGAAGGCCTTGGGTTTAATCATCAATGCTGCAACAAGAACAATAAAACCCACACATTCAAACCTCTTGTAAATTGCAGTAGCTATATAAAGGCAAACAGGGGATGTCTTGGGGAGAGGATTAACATTTCAGCTGAGGTGGGAAAAGTGAGCAGCAGACCCCTGCTGGGCAGCCAGGCTGCTGCATTCCAGGATCCAAAAGGGGACAGTGGTTGGAACACAGAGCAAGGAAGGAATAAGGGCTGTGATAAGGTCAGACAGGCTGCAGAGCCAGTGCTTGTCAGAGGCTGTGCTGCCCATGGCGAACCTGCAAAGGCACATGTTTCGCAGCCCCCATGGCTTTGAGTTTCCTGGGTCTCCCCAGGAATCTACCTCTGCCTGCTTTCCAGTACCTGATAACCCTTATCTGGAACACCACAGTGCCTCGGATCTACTGAGGGAAAAGAATGGGTGAATCTGCTCCATTTCTTTAGTAGTTTGCTGAGAAACAGGATTCCCCAGGCTAAGCCAATAAAATTTTAATAACTGGCCATAATTGTGAAAGCTTTTTATTTCTATGAAGAAATATATTCTACACTGGGTGCAATCCACACAACATTTCTGGACCTTCTTTCCAAGTGGCCCTTATATAGGCTACCAGCTCCTATGAAGATTTTGGGCTTTTCCCCCCCGTGTTAAAAAATAAAAAAACCCAAAACCAAAACAACAACAACAAAAAAAAACCCAGTGCTAACCATCACTTGCCATTTAAGAGACTCCTGAGCCCATGTCCATAGGGACCCTGCTAACAGTGGTTGTTTCCCCAAGAGACTGGCTTATGTGAACAACCACAAAAGGGGCCGTCTGTCATCTTTGTTGGTACTAGTGCTGTTGTGGGTAGAAAATGTCCCCTGTGCAGTCCTAAACCCTGTTTGCTACGAAATCAGAGTTTTTGGATGGAATCAAATTAAGATGAGGTCATCCTGGAGTAGGATGGGCCCTAATCCAGAGACTGGTGTCCTTACAGGGAGAGGGGAAGGTGTACACACAGATATGCTGGGAAGATGCCGTGGGACAACAGACAGGGACTGGGATGAGGAGTCCACCAGGCAATAAACGCCAAGGACTCCCAGGATTACCACCCACAAGGCAAAGGCACACCACCATGTTTTCTCCGGGAGCTGGCAGAGGCAGCATGGCTTAGCTAACACCTTGATTCTGGTTTATTGCTCCCAGGACTGTGAGAAAATCAATTTCTGTTGTTGAAAGCCATTACTGTGTGGTGTTCTATGGTAGCAACCCTAGGAAACCAACAGAAGTTCCTTCCTGGAGTCCACTGTTCACTTTTTCTCAAAGTATAAAAAAGCAGTTCCCGAGATGAATGAAGAATTCAGACAAAGCCAAAGAATAAACTTAGATATTTTGGTGGCAGATTCTAAAAACTTCTGAAGCCAGTTTTCTGAGGTAACTATATATCTGAATCATAAGAGATACAGTGATGAGATAGAAGATGGACTGAGTACAATGATGGCAAATTTTCTCTGGGGAGAAGTCAATTGAATATATAATTTTGCTTAAATAAATTAGTCTAAAAGCCACCAAGCAATGCCTGTCCTGCCACAGGATAGAAGTTTTGGTGACAACAGAAATAAGCAAAGTGTTAAAGGGATATAGTACAGAGATACATTTCAACTCCAGTCCCAGACCTGGTCGCCCTGGCTCAGGACTATAAAAATACTTGTGCTTTTTCAGTTACTATCTGCGGATCAACTAAAAAAGGGCTACTGAATTTTTTTAAAAAATGATTTTTACTGATAAGTACAAGTTGGAGGAACATGCATAAAACATTTCCGTATACAATTTATGACAAAGGTCTAGTTCTGCAAACATCATGTGTGAAAAAAATGTGTTTACACTGCTGAAGGGAGACACATAAAAAAAAGTGCATTCCTTTTTTTTTTTTTTTACCTTGCCTTTGTCGAAGTAGTGGATGATTTCTTGGTAGAGCTGTTCCTTCAGCTGTCCTTGTGTGGTCGCCTGGTACCCATCCCGCTGAGTGAGGTGGGCTGCACATACATCCTCTGACCACTGAATCAAAAACAAAGCAAGAGCAGTGCTAAGGCAGGGGTACATCCAGTGGTATCACTGTGCCCTGTGTGGTTGCAATGCAACATGAGCTCCACACTTGGTGCACGTGTGTGGGCCCAGATTCCAGGGATGTGGCCGAGTGCTATCATCAGTCTGCCCAGGGCATAAAATGTGAGCACGGGCAAGTGAAAGTGTGAGGACAGAATGAAGGCAAGATTATCTGATGGATGAAACATGTGAACTCCTGAATTTCAGCTCCATAAATCAATGGCATTAAATGTACAGCTCAGCGACAAACAGCAAATATTTAGTAAGAACCTATGTGCCAGGCTATAGGTCAAAAATGGGTCAGAAGAGGACTGCCTTCCAGAAGATCCCACCCACACAGAGATGTGTGATTCCATATAAAGCATCATGATGCACAACTGCCCTGCAAAAGGACTTCATAGTAATCCAAGGGAAGGAGGCATGATTTCATACTAGATGGTGGGGAGGCCATCAGAGCTTGTTTGCTCAAGGGTTTGTTTCAGAAGCACCTGGGTTTGCTTCTCTGGTGAAACTAGGGGGTGGAATGTGACTCTGTTTTAAGACAGAATGGTGACAATACTGAAAAGAAGGCAATCGACTTCCAGGCTGCCTGGGCCACAGGAGAGCTCCTAACTGAACTGAAGGTGGCAGGATGTCTCACCAGACTCAGTGCTGGTAAATGGGACGGGCTGTGGCAACACATGTAAGGGGGCAGGACAAAAGGGAGGAGCTGGACAAGGGGTAGGAAGCTGGGAACAACTGTGGCATGAGGCAAAGAGTCACAGGGACCAAGAGGAGGTGGGAAGCAGGGGTCCAGGAGTATGGCAAGGTGCTGCGAGAGACAAGTGTAACATGTCTTCCTAAAGGTATGGAGCCATGGGGAGTACACTATGGTGGAGCCCAGGGCTCCAAGGCAAGACAGAAGACCGTGGGCCTGAAGGGCTCCCCAGCTCAAGAACTGCTGTGTGAGAGTGAGCAACCTTCGTGTGGGCTACAAGATTGACCTTAACAATGGGCTTTGCAGATCCTCGCCCCAGCCAGAAGAGACCAACCTGTTAATGCTGGCATTTGTGCATCACAGCTGGTACTCTAGCTACTTTTATCAGGCAGTGGGGGGAATAAAAGTAAAACTTCAGATGATTCTTAAATGTAACAACAATAAAATAAAAAGGAACAAAAAGGTTCAGATATCTTTGCAAAAAATTACTTGGTAAAAAATAATATGTTGAATAGAGAAGCAAAAAAAAAATTTCCACATTTAATACAGTGAAGAATTAATATTTTGATTTCCGGGTCAAAAGCTAATGTTTTTATTGCTCTTGTGTTTGACCAAAAATATACTCAGCCAAAAAAAAAAACGAGATACTATTTGAGAATTTTCATTAACAAATAGAACACTTGTCATACTGAAGCATTTTCATAACAATACAAATCATTTTGTATAGTGAGTTGATTAACCATCATGAAATCACATTTATAGCAATTCAAAAATGGGAAGAGTTGCAAAATGTAATGGAGTAAAAGATATATAGAAAGATTATTTACCATTTAACTGGAAAATTTAGAACCCAGTAAAAAAGGTAATATAATTGTGCCTATTGATTTGGTCTGGGAAACAAGTCATCATAGATATGACAGACCCATCTGTACTCAATAAATCCAATGATTTAAAAAATGATATGTTTATGTACACATACATGCTCATATGTATGTTTTACATTCATACACAGATATAAAAGTTTATGATCTGGGAAAGAAAAAGAGTGACGAAGCGGTTTGTCAGCCTCATTTTAATTTCTGTGGTGTAAAAGAAAGGCCTTCACATTTGCAAAAACACCTTGTTACTGAATTTTGAGTTTCTAATATATTCATAGTGGGATGGTTGCTATCAGATATAGCCCCTGATATCTGTCTTCATAAAGGATGCACCTCCAGAGAACTTTAAACAAGAGACCCATGAGGACCTCCGGCAGCAAAGCTCAGACGACTATAGACGAGGCTCCCAGACTGAGCGCACTTTTTGTGTTTCATTTGCCCTGGGCCCTTTGGTTGGCAGGCAAAGGCAAACCTCCTCACTCAAGTGCTGTTGAGCAGCCTGCATATATTTGTGTCACAGAAGCTATGGAGGATTTTAGGATCAAGACAAAGGCTGAAGCCTTCTTACTGGAATTATGCTCCCTACTGTTGCCCTTCTTAACTCACATTACCCAATACGCATTTCTCAATGCCTATATTAATATAATTTGCTCTGTTTATTTGGTCATTCTACTTTTGGCGCTTGTGAAGCTGGCCTACATTTAGAAACAGGATTCTTTGAAGAAGCAGTCTCTTGTGTAAGGTCATTCAACTAAATTCTAAGTCTCAAAAGTGTACTTGGTTAGCCTGTTCAGAATTTCCCAATTTTTATAAGGATAGCATCAAGAAGATAATCTAATGGCTTGCTGAAATTCTAAAATATAAAACAAAGGTTATCTAACAATTTGCCAACCAACCAACCAACCATCCACCCATTCCTCCCGCACTCCTTCATCTAGCCACCCATGTATCCATCTACCCAGTTTCTATTACTTACGAAGAATTCACTCTGCATTATTAACTGTGTTGGAATTGGACAGGGGGGAAGAACATGAGAATGACACTGTGAACAAAAAAATTGATGCCTAAAGCTGTCTGTGTTTGAAAAGAATCTCTGCGAGTTAAAAGTTGTCATCCCAGGCCTGTATTCATGAGCAACACTCGCAAGAGAATCAGGCAGAGAACAGTGGAAGTAGTCACGGCATGATGCTCAACAGATAAATCAAGATCTGGTCTCTTTACTCATTGAGGGGATAATTAGGAGCAGGTCTCATTCTCTTTCCTAGCTGTTCTACTGGGGACATTCGTTCTTATTGATGTCATTCTTCACCACTACTGAATCTTGCCAACGTGAATAAGAACTTGTAGAATCTCTAACTTGCTGCTACCTCTCAGCACAATGTTGGGAGTGTGAAATACCTGCTATCCTGTTAAATCTGCATTTGGTAGAATCAAATCTATAATCAGCATACTTCCTAAATATTTTTGTTTAGGTTGCAGCATTTAGTCAGAATTCATAAAATCTTCTGTTACTGGTTTACTAGAATTTATCAAAGAAAAATAAAATTTAGAATAAGCTTAGAATTTATAACAACCATAAAAGTGCACGATAACTTTTATTACCTTAAGAAGCTTTGCATGGAGAAGCAAGGTATAAGCTGCTTCAGTGTAGTTATCACATTCTTTGTGCAGGTCACAGAGCTTGTATAAATACCTGAAATGATGAAATAGAGGTACTTTCTTAAAATGTGACAAAATAATTTGTGTTAAGGATTGCAGGAACTATGTTTGATATTCAACAGTAATTCATATCTATACTATTTTTACAGTGTTCATATTTCATAATGCCTTGAAAACTTCCTGTGCAGAGAACACTAAAAGAACCAACTAGACAAAATATATACATGTGTATATGTCATATATATGTACATAAAACAAATATATTTAACTTTCAGCATCCTACTTTCTGAATAAAAATGAAGGTGATATACAAAGGTAGAATTTTACTGCAAGGTATTTTATTCCTTGTCATCTTTTCCAGATTTTTATTCAAGCACCTGAAACAAGACTACACAATCTTGATAATGGTTTCCTATATTTCTAGTGAATCCAACTGTACAAAGATCCATAGAAATTCAAATCCACAAGGAAAAAAAAACTCCAAAAATCAGTGATCAAAAGAACTTCTCTTCCATGAAGAAATAAAAGTTGCTTTTTAATATGAAGGAGGTTATATTTTAGATGAAAGAAAGTGTTCAAGTTTATATTATATTCAAATAATATTGCTTTAAAGGGAAAAGAAGAAAATAAAAAATTGCATAATCACACTGAGTATAGTAAGTACATCATTAAATGCTAATGTCACACATAACATAGGTTTATTTTGTTGGTAATCTTGCTAATTATATGACAGTGGGTTTGTAAAAGTGACCATGAAAAGAAAGGCTTAATCATAGTGTATCTGTTCCAGCACTATTTTCTTTCTGGTGCTGCAGCAGGGCTGAATTTGGTCCCTAATGCACGGTAGGTAAGTGCTGTACCTCTGAGCTATACTCTCAGTCCTACATTACTCTAGATACAAAGGTAAATGAGGCAAAATCTTTGCAGGTAAACAAAACCCATGTTTTTCTTTCATAGGAGAAAGACACAGAAACCATAGAGATATGGTGTGTTGAGTAAGAAGACTGAAAGAAACATAATATGGTATGGCTTTTATCTAGGTGTTCCCCCAAAGCCTCATGTGCTTGTAGGTGAGACTTTCAGGAGGTGACTGAATGAGAGCTGTGTGTTACTGGATCATGGGTGTGTGACACTTGATCAGTTCAATCACTGGTTTAGTGTATTTCTAGGTGTGGGTGATGCACTTAGTGAAGAGTATGAGTGTGGGTGGCACCAAACAATAGGCTTGTTTGTAGGTTGGATGAAATAAAAAGGGAAAGAAGAAGGAAATCTTGTTGTTTCCTGCCTAATTTGGAACTAGCTGCCTATGGACTGAAACCTCTGCAAACTGTGGACTAAAAAAAAAATCCTTCTTTCATGGGTACTGAGTATTGTGTCAATGACAAGAAGGTAGGACATTTATTTCTTGTCATTTGTAGCTGAATTTCTCATTGGATCATATGACTCACTGTGAAACGTTAAACTTTGTGGTGTTATCTTTTTTCAAAAAGGTTATATGAGTTGGCCAAGAGGTACAACAGCCCTGTAAACTAATGATTTAGACTGTGACCCACTAATACCTCACTGGTATAAAACAGCAGCATTAGTAATGAGAGTACAACTGGGAACTCTACCAAACTCAATCTCATAGGCACCCCAGTTTTCTACACAATGAATCCCTATGGTTATAAAACATTTCTTAACGTGGACTTGATAAACAGCACTTATAGCAAACATGCAGGGTATGCAGATAAGCACGATGCTTACGTACCTAATATACATTTCTTCTCTTTCAATTTCTTTGTAGAAATTCTGAAAAATTAAACCACACACTTTTAAAAAGTTTATTTCACAGAAGGCATTATACATACATTAACAATTCAATGATTTTTGACTTCTGTCAAACACAGCCAAATGGACCCAAGAGTTTGGATTAGAATAATAAATTCACACAAGTTGTGAAATCATCTCACACTGTTCTGTATTTTTGCTTTTCTAATGACTACCTTTCCTATACTTTGGACACAATTAAAGTCTATTTCTGTTAATGGGATCCTATCTTTAACTAAAACAAGATACTTATTAAAGATATGATCTCTTAACAACTGTAATCTCATTAAAATAAACAACCCAAATCTGAGAATACACAAAGAGGCTTCATTAATAAGAGTCAGGAAATATGATATCTTAACTTTAGATGTTCACAACGGTAGCCCCAGGCCAGGTATAACTAAAGGTAAAGAAATTTTAAAGAGTATTATATAAAATTATGAATTTACCTCATGAGTAGTATTCAGCCATACTTTGCTCAACAGCTGCATGGGGGCATTTTTACTGTACTGAATTGTTCATACAGAACAAAAGCATCATCCCAGAAAACCTTAGTGTTAAAAGGCAGACAGATCTTCCAAACCACAGTAAGAAGATGGGACACCATTTAAAAAGTCCTTTGATATCAACGCTGATTAGAATTGTTAGTAAGCACCTTGCAACCAATGGGCTATTTCTACAAATTCTGGTTGAGCATACACATTTCTACCAAAATTATATTTCTTTATGTGAATATCTTTGTGAACATTTAAAAATTTTAAACATGTTTGGGATACCACAAAGGTACAAGAGTCACCTAAGAAGGTTCATCAAATGGAAACATCATTCACCACTTTCAATGTGAAATTTAGAGCCTAAAATAATGTTATAAATCTAGACTAATGCCTGAGGAAACTAGATAGTATCAATATTACAAAGATAGACAATGACCCAATAGGATACCATAGGCTCTTCAATTTCATTAACAAAAAAGGGGCTTGCTTCCAAGATCAATCTCTGCAAAGAAATGCTAAGTATAGAAAGTAAGAAGGGATACGTTTAGAAAAGCATATCAAGATTTCCAAACTATCCTCTGACATTTTAATGTGCTCTAGTTTCTGTGACGCAGCTCAGTAATGAGGATATTTTCAACTGAAAAATCAGAGCAACGTAACAAAGAGAATCGCATCAAAGGCACAGAAAAAGCCCTTCATTTTCAACTCCAACTTGCCAGTATTTATAAGCTACAATCTCACACTATGCCTTTCTGTACTCATATTTTTAAACCTTCCCGAGGTTTGATCATTCTCCTTTACTATTTCACAAGGCCAATTCTGTGTGACCTTCATTTCTCTCAGAGATACAGAATGTCTTCTATTTTCTGACTGCACTGAGGTCTGTTCTCTTCCTAGGATTTCAAAAACCTCCCTTAAGAGCCAAAGCACACTCATCTCAAATCCCAATTTATATATAAAACTTTTGTGCTTCTTACGTCAAAATATACGCTGCTCCCATGCTCCACTTCTGGGCTCCGCAGTAGTGCTCTCTCCTGACCCCCAATAGTTTGTCTCTCAAGTTCCTTCCACACCAGCACCCCAGATCAGCAGCTTGAGAAATGACTTCCAAAGGAGCCTCATTGGGGCCGGGCTTCAACACTAATCCACTTCAAAACACTGATTTTCCAGAGCCTAGATGTTTGCATTGTATTTCAATTTTTGACTCCTTAATAACTCAAACAGATATTAAGAATTTTAGAATTCTGGTCCAAAAGTGGCATAGATAAGTTTCATGGAGTCATTTTTACTGTACTGAATTGTTCATACAGAACAAAAGCATCATCCTAGAAAGGGATCATGAATGGAGAAACTGATGATGGGTAAATAAGGATGGCTCTAGCAGTCTGAAAAGTGGCTGTGTTAATGGCTGCACAGGAGAATTAGTGACAAATGACCAAGTTATTGATCAATAATTAATGATTTTCTGATTAGGAAGTGACAGGAAATGCTATTTAGAGAATCACAATTGTGTATTTGTCAGATGGGAACCATGGTGACATGGTTACGGTGGACATTCAGGGACTGAGCGTTGGGTCCAGTGTCTGCTCATGTCTTTGAAATTTGCATTTTCATTTTTGTTTTGGTAAGAGCAGAGATGAGTAGGACATTAATGAACCTACAAAACTTAGCATGTTCCATAAACTGTCTTTAAAAGAATCATAGCACTGGTTATAAGGGAAATCTGGCAATGGACTTAAAGGGACTGATACATTCTGTGATCTTTATTTGCCTACTTATTTATAAATATATTTTTAGCACACACATAGTGATTGTACACATATATGGGTTATAGTATGGCCATGCATATTATGTAATATATATATGTCACATGTAAGTATAAGATTTAGATTAATGATGCCTGTGTCATTTTAGACATTTATCATTTTTTAAAATTTTTTTTAAAATTTTTTTTCTTTTTGAGATAGGGTCTCACTGTGCAGTTCAGGCTGGCCTTGAGCTCACTTTGTAGCCTAGGCTGGTCTCGAACTCACAATGATCTGCCTGCCTCAGCCTTCTAAGTGCTGGGATTACAGGCATGAGCCACCACGCCCGGCCACATTTATCATTTCTTCATACTAGGAACATTCAAAATAATCTCTACTAGCTATTTCTGTTTTTGAGCAGCATCAGATTCACTTGTTCCATAACTTTATTAAGTTAATTATCATAAATATAGATTAACAGCCAGAGTAACAAGCTAAAAAACATATAAGGCAGTTATACTAAATAACGGTACACTTTTAGATACTTCGATCGTGTTAGACTACAGATAACATTCTTTCTATTCTTTTCTACTGTCATTTATTTTGTATTTTATTTATACATTGGGCTGCTCATATACAAGAGACCATGCCATATTCAAGCTTCTGTGTCTAACTTACATCAGATACATGTTAACTGAGACGTTATAACATTATATGATCTCAAGGTGCATCCAATTTTCTACAAATGACTCAAGTTTATCCTTCTTTATCACAGAGTAGTAGGACTCCATTATGTATAAATACCACTTTTTCGTTGTCTGTTCATCTATTAATGGACACATAGGCTGCTTCCAATATTTAGCTATTAAAAATTGTGGTATGAAGATGGGTAGGCATACATCATGGTATTTATTAACTCTTCTAGGAAGAAACCTAGAAGGGGAATATCTAGGTCAAATGAAGTTTTTAGTTTTAGTTTTTCGAAGAATCTCCATAACAATTTCCACAGTAGTTGTATCAATTTATACCCTGACCAACAAAGGAGGACTCTTCTAGTAACAGTTTTAGAATTCTGGTACTAAAACTGCATGGATTGGAAAGTATTGATATATATGTTTACATAGTTTCTGTTGCACTGGTTTCCAGTTTTGCTGCACTGTGATCTGACATGAATGGGATAATTTGGATTATTTTGTATTCACTGTACTTAAGTATACTTTATGGGCTAATATGATTCATTCTGGAGAAAGTCCTATCTGCTGCTCAGAAGAATGTGTGCTCTGTTGTTGCTGGATGGAATAGTCTATCTATTAAGTCTCCTAATTTAAAGGATCGGTTCAACTCCGATATTTCTTAGTTGACTTTTTTGGGTCTGATTGATTTGTTCGTTTGTGATGGGGTATTGAGGTCTCCCATTACTTCTAACAGGTATTTATTTGATTTTTCATGTCAATTAGTATTTGTTTTATAAAGTTGAGTGGACCAGTATTTGATCTCTTTCTGCTGAATTGTTCCCTTAATCAGTATGCAGCAATTCTCTTGTCTCTTCTGATCCAACTTGGCTTATAATCCAAATTAGGACAGCTACTCCTGTGCTTCTATGAGTTCCTGTTTTCATGGGATATTATTTTTCATCCTTTGAATTTTAATCTGTGAGCTTTCTTCTGAGTTAAATGCTTCTTGTGTATTGCATGTTGCTGGGTATTGCTTTGTGCTTCATTCTGTCAGTCTGTGTCTTTTGGACAATTGAGACCATTCACATTAAGAAGTATTATTGAGAGGTACTGACTTACTCCTGTCAGTGCATTGAATTATTTCTCTATTGCTTATTTCTCTTTCTCTTTTTTCTTTTTCTTAGCTGCTATCCAACTAGGTGTAGTCTTCTTTTTGACTTATTAGAAATATTGATTTCATTGTCTCTTTCCTCTGATATCCTTAACAATTTTTGTTATGTGGGCTGGTGGTTATAGATTTCTCAATGTGCTCTGTGCCTTGGGGATACCTTATTTCTCCATCAATTTTGAAGGGAAGTTTTGTTGGATACATAAATTGAGGTTGGAAATTGTTATGTTTTAGGGCTTGAAACACTTTCCTCCATATCTTCCTGGCCTTTAAGATTTGTGTAGAGAAGTTAGCTGTGATTATCACGTGTTATCTTTGTATGTTACTCAATGCCTTTGCTAATAACTGTTTTAAGATTTTATCCCTCTAACAGAGGTACTTTTCTGGGTGTGGTTATTCAGGGTTCTATATGCTTCACTTATCCGTACGTTTATTTCTTTCCCTATACAGAAATCTTCTGTCATTATTTGTGTGAACAGGTTTTCTATACCATTTGTTTTGTCTTGTGATTTTTCACTTATTTCAATTATTCTTAGGTTTGTTTTCTTTGTGTCACCTAGCAGTTGTGTTGGATCCATTTTTCATGTTCTCCTGCTGGCTTTAAGGTGTCTTTGGTCTTTCACAGTATCCTTATCTTCTAGTTCTGAAATGCTGCTCTCACATAGGTTGCTTTTGCTGCTTAGACTTTTGGTATGTTTAATCTGGATTTTTTATTGACGCCCTTTCATGGACACTAATTTCTTTCTAAGTTGGCCATTTATGTTTTGCATCATTGTGTTTAGTTCACCTAGTTTTTTAACAGTGGCATTTGAAAGCTCCTGGATCACTTTGATTATTACTTCCGTTATCTACTTAGTTTTATTTTCTGTAATTCTGCTGAGTATCTCTTCTGTTTTCTAAT